GGGGGGGGGGGGGGGAGAATCGCCCCGCCGAAGCGCTTGTACCTGGCGCGTCTCTGCGCAAAAGGAGCGCCGCGTCTCTCCGCCTCTGCTGGAGCGCGCCGGACCAAAGTCAAGCGTCGCAGGCGCGCGTCCCTCTCCCCTCGCCGGCCCGGCCCTCGCCCTTATATGGAGTCGGGGACTCCCAGCCCACCTCCCCTCCCTCGGGCCCTCCCTTCCTGCCCCCTCCGGAGCCCCGAGCGAGGAAGCCAGCCCACCCAGCCAGGTAGGGTTGGCTGGTGGGGGGGGGCTGTCTGGCCGGCCGGCCGAACGACCGCCCGGGGCGCTCTCGGAGTACTTGGACCAGGTGGCGCTCGACGGCGCCCAGGCAGGAGCCTGGCCAAATCCGGAGTGGGAAGCGAATTGAACGGCCGCTCCCGCGGCGCCTCGAACCCTGCTTCGTGAACCGTGGCTTATGGACGGCACCATACGCCGGCTGGGTTTCCCAAACCCGCTAAGCCAGACGCAGACGGACCACCGTGGATGGTTCAGCGGGTTGAGTGAACTCGCAGGACGATCGCAGCGCCGTCATGGGAGCCAGTCGAGGGACCCTGGTGGCCTCGAGGCAGCCGCTCTCCCACTCGGCTTCTCCTGGAAACCGCTGCAGCCTGCGATGAGCGGGGTGCCCGTAGGATAGGTCAAAAAAGTCAAGATGGCGGCCGCGGCGGTTTTTTTATATGCATCGCCTATCCTGCGGACATCCTGCCATAGGAGGTAGCATCATACGGGCCTCCCCAGAGGGACGTGGTAGACCACTAGGACCATCTCTGGAGACCCGCCTTTGCAGACTTCCAATCAGCCCCCTCACTGGCTTCCTTGGACCAAGCTGGCTTCCTTTCCTAGGTTAGCTCAGGGTGATCCTGGCCAGGGAAGGAGAACCAGGTGGGAGGGAGAGGCAAGTGGACTGCTCAGGAGGTCAGAGCACCAGCCTTCATGGGGTCTTTGGGATGGTGCTCAGGAGCCCCTTCGCCATGTGGGTTAAGAACCTGCCTCTTGCCTTTGCTTGGTTTGGTTAACCTTGGTTTGGTTTCTGGAGCCCTGACTTAGTCTAGGGGCAGGGAGCAGAACAGCAACAACAGCAACAACTATTATTGTTGTCATTATAACTTGTAGGTCTCCCAACTCACAAGGACTCTGGACCGCTCACAATGATCAAAATCAAGAAATTGCAATAAAACCGATAGAAGATATAAGGTGGCAAGGGTGATGAAGCGAGGGGTCCCACTCTCCCTCGCCACGGGCCTGGACCAAGAGCCAGATCTTCAGGTCCCTTCGAAACACCAGCAGGGTGGGGGCCCTCCAGATCTCGGGAGGGGGGGACTTGCTCCAGAGGGCAGGCTCTGCTAAGAGAAGGCACCCTTCCAGGGTTCTTCTGGATGATATCGTTTCATCGAAGGATTACAGAATAATGAAAGGAACCCAGAGCGCGCCAACCCTGCCAGATCGGATGGGCCAAGCTGATACTAGGAGACACAGGCAGTCCTGCGAGTAAGTGGGCCCCAGGCCACGTTGGGCTTTCTAGATGATGAATTGCACCCAGAAGCAAACTGGCAACCAGTGCAGCTCACGAAGCAGAGGTGTTACATGGGCGTACTGGAGCACGCCCATCACTGCCCGCCTGCTGCATTCTGCATGCTGGACCAGTTGAGCAAATGAAATATTTTCCGTGCAGGGTTGCTGCATCAAGGAACAGTGCAACAGGGAGCCAAGGACACATCTATTGCCTCCCGACAGACCCAACTCTCACTTCCATACAGCAGCGTCTCTTCACAGGCATTTTTGCTTCATTCAACAAACTTTCCCTTTTCTCAACAGACCACACGCTACTCCCAATCTTTCTGCCAGCATTTGCACGCTTTGAACTTTCTCCCACCTTTAGTAAATCCACTTTTCCATTCCACCGAGGTGGTTAATTCAGTAACTAGATTAAATAGATTAAGGGACGGGTTTCTCTCCTCTATGCAGTTAAGTAACTTTTTAGATCCAGACTTAATCTTCTTGAGAAGGGATCTTCCCTAGATGGAAATAGGTTTTAAAGTAGGGTGGTAAGGGGATTAGGAAGCAGGCAGAAATTCATTCCTGGAGATGTGATGGATAAATAGGCATTAGTTGTGAGAGTCAAATAGAACCTCCATGTTTGGAAGCAGTATACCTCAGTCAACTGGAGAAAACAGGGGAAGACTCTAAGCTCTTTTTATCTGCTTCGCTGAATGGACCAAGTGGATTCTCAGGCTCAAAAGGGAAAGACTTCAGGCAGCCTGTAGGAGCTTGGAAGAAACATCAAGGCAAAAGGGATTAAAAACCCCATTTTCTGAGGTCTCCAGCTCCCATTTAAAAATGGAATAAAACTAGATTCAAAGAGTTGTCACTATGATGGTTGAGATTTCAGCATCAAGTAAGCATGGGTGCATCTAGGCCAGGGTACAGAGTTGGATTTCATGTTAGCTGATCTTTGTCAGCAAGCTTTTTTGCTGACTTCAGGCTAATCTCTCAGCAAGGCCTACATCGCCTGATAATTGTTGAGGTGGGAGGAGAAAACCACCTATGTGATAACCACACATTCAGGTATAAGTTGGCATGGCAGCCCATTCAGGGATCTGTGTTCAAATCCTTACTCAAACATGAAGCTCATTTTGTTCTGTTGAATATCCCTTGCAGGATTGTTCTAAGGCTAAAATAGGGATGTGGGGACCCTTCCTTCCTTCCTTCCTTCCTTCCTTCCTTCCTTCCTTCCTTCCTTCCTTCC